CTCCACAACAGGCCCGAGCTCGAAATTCTTAATAGACGAACCGAGGTAACCTCATCCTTCCCGATCAGCACGCAGGGATCGAGCATGTCATCTTCAAACCGACCTCGAGGCACCCCAACCTCACAAGCACCGGTTTCGAGCCCAACTTCAGAGTCGAACCGTCGAACCGACTGCCGAGATTCTCAATTCGGTTGGAACATACCTTGTCATCCCAAATCTTCATACACGTGCCGATTCTCTGTTACCTAATTTTCGAAATCAGCGACAACTGCAAATACGGCCGACCGAATCTTCAATCGCCAAAGTCCAATTTCCCGAAGTGCGACTTCACCTCAGCCCCAGGTCCGTTTTCTCGAGGTCCGATTTCCCGAGACCCTACTACACATCATCGGCGTCCTTCGACTATCCCGCCGAGATCAGAGCTACAAAAGCGGCCGACATCGCAGCAAGCGACTACCGAACAAACCGATATCTTCTTCAGCAACTCGCATCAACATAACCAACTCCACAGTCAGATCCCTTATCTCGTGTTCAAGCTCCCAACCTGCCGCCACACCAATTTCACCATCGTAAACACCGGGGTCGACCTCGGTGCACTTTCATCCGACCTCGGTGCACTGTCACTGAGCCGACATGCTCACTTCCAATTTTAGTCGTCGAGGTTGACCTTGTCATTCCCAATTTTCAAAATCGCAGTCGAACTCCGATTTCAAGCGAAGCCCGACCTCCAAATTGGTACTCGATTTCACTACTTGACAAATTCACACCTGTGCTCACGCCAACAGATCTGAAGGAGTTTTTCGTCGGGTTATACGAGAGAGAAGAAAGAAGGCACCAGAATCGAATAGCTGCTACTTTATTTCGTGGAATTGGCCCAAATAAAATTTATTTTGGCCAAACAGGGTCCATACCCAATATAATCCACTTCACTTTGAGCCAAGATTTTCGAACAAAGGCGTTGTGAGCCGTTTGGGAAAAGGACGAAACCAACCACATTTATTTACACCAAGCCACTTTATTCTCCACTTCCCGGTGAATCCCGGCATATTCATACCGAACTGATTTATCGTTCGCTCGCCGACGAGTTCGCTTATCAATGATGGGGCCGAGATTATTTATTCAAATTGACGATAGTCGTGGCCTAACTCATTAACTCCAAGCTTGATTAATTAGTAATGCGGGGGCCGAATTCCTTTATATATGCCGGAGCCGGAGTCATTGATTTACACTCGGAGCCACCCCGACCTATTCATTCACACCGAGGCTAATGATCTCTTTACGACGTCCTTATCTTCTCGCCGTTGAGCCTCAACTCCGGCTGAGCCGACGTCCTTATCTTCTCGCCGTTGAGCCTCGACTCTGGTTGAGCTACGTCCATATTTTCTCGCCGTTGAGCTCGACTCCGGCTGAGCTGACATCTATATTTCTCGCCATAGAGCTTCGACTCCGGCTGAGCTGACGTCCTTATTTTCTCGCCGTAGAGCTTTGACTCTAGCTGAGCTGACGTCCTTATTTTCTCGCCGTTGAGCCTCGACTCCAGCTGAGACGACGTCCCTATTTTCTCGCCGTTGAGCCTCGACTCTGGCTGAGCGGAAGTCTATATTTTCCTACGTCGAGCCTCTGCTCCGTATTGTCCTACCGTCGAGCCTCTGCTCCGACCGCAAAAAAGAATCATCACAAAAAATCCGAGCAACAGCTCGGTACCGATGTAAACATTATGACATTCGGTCTCGCCAATGCATTGTAATACCTCCAAATCCCACGTATGATTTGGTCGGGCTAAGGCTCGTCTGCGTCAATTCAGCAAACATGATTTGACGAGGTCTCATTGACAGCCGAGTACACTTGACTCGGTTGAGGTTGTTCCGTAATCGAACCGCGACGAAGTTCGGTGACCCCTTTTGTTTTTCAACTTGGACAGCGTGAACAGTGTCGAGTGTTGCAAGTTCAAAACAGCTTTCTTATCGGTTCTCCATAATACCGACTTTCCAGAATATGACATCAGACTCAGAAAAGGAACTCAGACTCAACAAAATATCAAGGTATCCTTATTTATCGTACATTAATCATTTACTGCACATGCGCATTATGCATCGACATACTCAGTAATGCATTCATACATTCATCACATATGCGTGTCACACATACATTCATTACATATGCGCATCGGACATACATCGTGACGTCCAAATCAAAAGAATATAATAAACCAAATGCCTTCATCTGTTTGGGCCCACACTGGTTAGGCAAAGTCAATAAGACCTTCCCGGCTGGGAAATATGCGAAAGAAAAAATCATTAGACCGAGTTCTTCAGCTCAATATGATAAAGCCTTTACTTACACCAAGTATTCATCTTGGTAAGGTTGATACCCATGCCTTTACCGAACTCTTCAGTTCGGTAGACTAAAGCCTTTATTTTCACCAAGTTCTTCAGCTTGGTAAAGCTAGAAAGTCTGTTCCTAACCGAGTTCTTCAACTCTGTGGGCAAATATATCATATCGATACCATCTTTGCATAAAGATCGATAGCAAAACAAGAGGCCCGAGTGCCCGTACCAGTTCAAATCCATATTATTTTCATCATTACAGATGCAAAGTCATCCAACGCGTCATATTACACACGAAAACTGGGTACCGAATTACCCTACCAGGCCAACCAGGCCCCATTCATATATCATTTTCACATAGTTGACTATCCACGCAGTCGACTCCACTCGTCAGAACAAAAACCATGATTACCGTCAATCCGACAGGCCAAATCCTGGAACTGATCCACGGAACATTTACGGTCCCAAAGTAACCGGCCAACATCGATATATTAATTATCACAACTAAATTGACTATACACGTGACTTCAAACAGTTCTATTCAGAACATGTCTTAAAGTCAGGGGCCTACTGTTAATACCCAATTTTGGCCTCTCCTATTAAAATATTACACGTGGATATGTATTATATCCCAATTGTTTTATGTTAGGGCCCAAAAATAGCACCGCTTGTAATAATAACGCCCCACTTAGAATAACTATATATGCCCCCTATGATGGACGAAAAAAAAGGAGGTATGAGGGGTTATTATGATTTTTCTTTTTTCTTGATCAAGAATGAGGAGGGTCACCTTTGAGGATTTCTTCTCCTTCACAGGAAGGAAACACAGAAAATATACAAAATAATAATTTTGTTTTTTATTGTTCTTCAATCTTTATACAGTTTTTTCGACAAAAATCTAATACAAACACTATTTTTGGAATACCCCATGTTGATCAAAAATCGCATATCAATAACCCAAATTGTTGGTTGACACACCAAAGGCAAGTAGAGCTCTACCTTGATTATCACGAGCAGTTCCATCTATACCGAATCGACCAACTTTCTTGTTTACACTAACATCCACATCAAGGCAGACTGATTTTATGGGGGAGGGCTCCATTTTGTAAATTATTTGATTGTCTACTTATGTTATTTATCAATTCTATTATTATTTTTATAACAACAAATGTAGTAGCATTATTTTATCCTATTTTGTTATTATTTTTATAAAAATTCTATGTAATTGTGGCAGTCCCTATCTATATATATATATATATAGAGAGAGAAGGGAATATATGAGAAAGAATGATAGTGAAAGAAATAAGAATGAATATAATCTTTTAGATCTAACAATTCAATGTTATGATTAAGTCAAACATTAATAACATAGTCAAACATGTAATGGCATTATAGTAAATATTTAAACACATAATGGTCAAATATGTTTCTTTGACCACTCATTAAGGTTATAATGGTAATTAAAATAACACATAACTCTGGTGGAGCCCACCCCCAACCCATCCCATCTCTCTCACACCCTAACACTTTAAACACACACAGCACTCCCGCCGCCACACACACACACGCACCTCCGGCAACAACACTCCACCACCACCAGCCCGCTGCCTCCCATTTGTCGTCCGCCACCGAGTGTCCGCCTTTGACCACAGAGAAGGACCGTCTCATTGAGATATCAATCGGACAAGTTCGCTCCCGGTTCTGCCGTCCGTCGCAAGCTTCACCGGAGTCGTCCACCATCAGCGACAGCTCGAAGTTCACCCCGGTCACGTGCGATTATGATTCGACACAACGCCGCCTCGAGGCCGCGCGATCTACCTCCGACCTAACAGACGTCTTCGAGATGGTCGCGGATGTGTCAAGACCTCCGCCGCTGTCATTGCCGGAATACAAGCGCCCAGGACGACCGACGACTGCCAACGAGACCTTCACGGTGAGAGATGAAATAGAATCAGGTTGCTGGTAAGAGACGAAATAGATTCATGTTGCTGCGGAGAGACGAATTGTACAGACATTTGTTCAAAATTATGGGGCATGTGTTTGAGAATTTGATAAATGTAAGGGACTTGATTGCAAATGTAAGGTTTTTTTTTATTAAATTTCAATTTAGTACATGTATCAAATCTATAATTTATGAAAAAATATACTAACTACACAATAATAAGTTAATAACAAAGAATGTGTAAAATATTACTTGATAAATACACCAATACTTTAAAAGTAAATAAAATATAATTGAATCGATATAAATTTTGAATTAAAAATTATTGTTCAGTCGGTTTTGACGGCTAGTGCATTAGAGTCATTGTCGTGCAATTTGTATAACAATATTGTGCAGTTACAATGCATATAAATACAAAAAAATAACAAAATAAAAAACAATATTAACATTTTTTATGTAGTTCAACTAACCATTTTTTTTTAGTTATTTGAGAAAATAATACCAACATCGAACTGAAATATCCGTGATTTTAGAAGTAGGAAATGGATTATCAAACCGAAATTTAATATTTCAACCTTAAAAATTTAGTTAAATCAATTAGGTGCAATTCGATAATCACTGAGGTGCAATTTATCTAACACTCTGGTGCACTTAAATTGCAGATTTTTTTTTTAATAATTTGTTCTAACCAATACTAAAATCGAATTTAAATAATCGGTATATCCGATCAATTAACGGGAATACCATAAATAACACAAATAACTTAACACTTATATTATAAAAATATATTTAGTAATTTTTAATATTTTCATTTAATAATTATTATTTTTTCCCGACTAGAACTAAATAATATTTTTTATATAAAAATATATGGAAAAATATTTTTTATATAGTTAGTTTGTTTGCTTATTTTGATTATTTTAAAATATTAATGTCGATATTGAACTAACATTATCGATAGTTCGACATGTTCGGTTATTTTATTTATTTATAAAAAAACAAAATCCGATCTTTAACCAACTAATATTATTCGATCTGTTAATTACTGTAATTAATAAGTGCAGCGTGTTGTTTTATAAGGTGCAATATGTTGTATTATATGGTGCAATGTACTGTCATATAAAGTGCAACGTACCGATATATAAAATGTAATAGTGAAATCTTGGTA